GGATGAACAGTAATCTCTGGAGACAGATCATTATAATCCTTTACCTGAGAAACGGAATCGGATGAGCAGAAAGTAACCCAAGAGCTAGAATACCATCCAGGAAACCTGAATCAACTGTAGAGCATATTCAAATGATCAGTTGTTGCCTACACATTCTAGTCCTAAATCCAGTAACACCCCCAAAGGTGTGATTCTACACTTTGGTATGCTGCTAATCTTTCCTTTGTGATAGTGTGGCCATGCATGCAGGTATGAGAAATTTTCTTTCTCTAGGCAATGAAGAACCCGCACTCACGTTAGCTGTATCTCATTTCAGAGTCCCTAGCCTATCTCACGGCTGCAACTCATGGTCTGGATGAGGAAGCTGAAAGTCTGAAGGAAACATTTGATACTGAAAAGGAAACGGTTAGCAAACTGACTTAATGCTTTCTACTTCAAGAGCTCTGGAGTTTGGGAAGAAGATGACAGTGGGATCTGGTGTTAGTGTGACTGGCTAGGCAGCTTCTTTCTGGGAGGGAGGAACCATCTCTGTTCCAGTTGCCACTTAGCAGGCTTGAGACTGTCTGTGCTGCTTGGAGGCGGGTAGGTCAAAGAATGGGATTTTCCTTATGTGGCCTTTAACTGGTTTTTGCTCCTCTCTGCTCAGATTCCAGACATTGATCACAATGCAAAGCTGCTGCAGCCTCCTGCTCCTGTCATGCCTCTGGATACCAACTGGCCATTGCTGACTGTCTCCAAGGGGTTCTTCGAAGGAACAATTGCTAGCAAAGGTATTGCTTTGTATTTGGAAAGTTGCATTAAGCTGGGATATGCAAAATGGAGATGTTTGTCCCCGTGGTTCCTGAACTGTTGCTGTTAACCTCAGGTTTGTTGTGTGTTACCAGCAGAGGTTGGAATTGAGCTTGGCATTTACACCGTCTTTAGCAAATCTCTCAAATCTTTGGCCTTTTAGCACAAGATGGGACTTGACAATTGGAGGGGAGGGTGCTGGCCTAATGTAATTCTTTGCTTAACACCTGACCCACTCGGAGATTTGTAAATGAAGGATCCTACCCTTTTTGTAGGCAAAGGGGGTGCCTTAGCTGCCGATATCGATATTGACACTGTTGGCACTGAAGGCTGGGGAGAAGATGCAGAGTTGCAGTTGGATGAAGGTGGGTGAATCCAAGAGTTTTTCTTGCAGAAGTGTAAGTGTGTGCCTGTGTAAGAGCTCTGACTGTTTCCCCCCTGCCCCCTCTGTGCAGATGGCTTTGTGGATGCTGGAGAAGGCTTTGGAGAGGAAGGTTTAGGTAAAGGCCAGGAAGAAGGAGGTGGATGGGAAGTTGAAGAAGATTTGGATCTTCCCCCTGAACTGGTAGGAGGCTTCTTAAGTAGCACAGTTGTAGTTACTTGGGAAGGCAATGACAGCTTGTGGTGGTGGTTGTGGTGGGGGAAATGTGTTACAGGCTTCTTCAGTGACTTGGTCACCACAGCTATGGCCAGCTCTCATTTCATCTGGGTGCTGGAAACTTCCACACTAATCACTGCTCTGTGTGTTCCCCCAGGATGTTCCTGCTGGTCCAGCAGGAGCAGCAGAGGATGGATTCTTTGTGCCACCCACCAAGGGCACCAGCCCAGCTCAGGTAGTGGCACAAGTCTTTGACTGTCTTTCTCAGAAACTTTCTACTTTGGCACTTGTTTTTTTGGGTTCAGTCCTTCTTGTTAACACTCATCTGTGAGCACAGCATAGGAACTTTCTTAAGGGGGGTTAGGGATGATAAGGATAGATAAGACAAATCTGTGTGTATACACAATTTCTCTTGTATAAGTTCCCCTTCCATTCTTGTAGGTGTGGTGTAACAATTCTCAGCTTCCTGTTGACCACATTCTGGCAGGCTCCTTTGAGACAGCAATGAGAGTAAGTTTCCCCTGGAGTTTCTAGGGAAAAGATTGTGCCCTTGTCCCCATATACTTTTGTCTCTGATCCAGTCTGAAGCTTCATTTTGTGTCCTTTTGTGAATCATTTTGTGCATTTTTTTTTCTCTGGGTATAAAATAAGAGGTGCTGTGAGCCTGAGTGATGTCTGTGTGACCTTTGTACAGCCCTGGATAAGATTTACTCAGCAGACCAATGTGTCTATTTCAGCTCCTCCATGACCAGGTAGGAGTAACAAACTTTGGACCCTACAAGCAGCTGTTCCTGCAGACCTATGCCCGTGGCCGTACAACCTACCAAGCCCTGCCATGTCTCCCTACCATGTATGGATACCCACATCGCAACTGGTAAGCAATTGGGTTAGCTCCTTTTGTGTGCTTTTTAACTTGTGCCATATACCTCCCAGACTCCTTGACAGTTGTAGCCAGAAATGTCTCCTCCCTCTGTTGTGAACGGAGGAGCTTCCTGTTTGCTGGATATAAATAGGGAGCATTCTGTCTTTAGTGGGATTTTTCTGCTGCTTGCTGTTTGATGTAAAGATGTTAAAGAACTGCTTTCATGTTTTTTAGAGACTAAATCCAGGGTGAGGCAGTTGGGATGCTGTGTTTTCTAGCTCTAATGCTCTGCCTCTGACAAAGCTGGTCTGAGGCATCTAGAGAACCACAGGTTTGTTTTTACAGTGGTGCCTGGAAGCCACTGTAGAAAAATGAGCCAGACTTCCCAGCCTGCGCTAATGCAGAGAGGGCTGGGCATTGTGGGTGGCAGAATTATGGAAGCACATATGTCTTTTGTGCTGAGCTAATGGCAAAGAAAAACAGCGTGGCCCTAGGTCAAAACATCTCATTTGAGCTGACAATATGTGTGTTCCTGCTGGCCTCTGCAGTGGTCCCATTTGTACGCCCAACCCCTCTTTGGTGCCCCCAGGAAAGAAGCTGGCTTAAAGAATGCCCTCCCTGCCATTGGACTGAAACTCAATGACCTGATCCAGCGCTTGCAGCTGTGCTACCAGCTCACTACGGCTGGCAAGTTTGAGGAGGCCGTGGAGAAGTTCCGCTCCATCTTGCTCAGTGTGCCCTTGCTGGTGGTGGACAACAAGCAGGAGATTGCTGAGGTGAGAGGCATACTCTTCGGTCTGTTGTCTGTGTGCCTGTGGGGCAGGAGGCCAAATGCCTGACTCTGTCTCCCTCTCTGAAAGGCCCAGCAGCTGATAGCCATTTGCCGGGAGTATATTGTAGGACTCTCAATGGAGATTGAGCGAAAGAAGCTGCCCAAAGAGACCCTGGAACAGCAGAAGCGAATCTGTGAGGTACAGAAACTCTGTGAATTTCTTCACCACGAGGGGGAAGTAGCCTTTAGGTTTAAAAAGGCATTGGAAATCCCAAATTCGGCCATTTCCTCCTTTAAAGCGGATGTGGCAGTGATTACTTGGGAGGGGTTTCTTGCAGCATTTTCAGGGCATCCAGTTATTTACGTGGTTGGTAGTGATTGTATCCCTACTTTCCCTCCTTCTCCCTAATGCAGATGGCTGCCTATTTCACCCACTCCAACCTGCAGCCTGTCCACATGATCTTGGTGCTGCGTACTGCTCTCAACCTCTTTTTCAAACTCAAAAACTTCAAGACAGCTGCTGCTTTTGCCCGTCGGCTGCTGGAGCTGGGTCCAAAGCCTGAGGTGGCCCAGCAGGTATGTCTGTGAGGTGCATGGGTAGAAATATGTGCTGTGGCAGACCCTATTTGGACTGCTTCCTAGCTGCCTCTCTGGTCGATGTGGTTGCTTTTTGCAGACTCGCAAGATCTTGTCAGCATGTGAGAAGAATCTCACTGACACCTACCAGCTCAACTATGACATGCACAACCCCTTTGACATCTGTGCTGCCTCTTACCGACCCATCTATCGTGGCAAACCCGTGGAGAAGTGTCCACTAAGCGGAGCCTGCTACTGCCCTGAGTTCCATGGGCAGATCTGCCGCATCACTACAGTAAGGGAGTCTCAACGTCTATTAACCACCCACTCCTAACCTGTGATGTTTCCCTTGAGAGTCCCCTCCAGCAGCTTCCCCCATGCTTGCCCCTAACTTGGCATAGTTTTTGGGTGAAGTTGAACGTTGGAGGGCTTGGCATGTGCGGTGGAACAGTTTGGGAATTGTGAAATACTGTGTAGTTTAAATGCTACCTTCAGGGACCGACATTGCAGTGATCAGCAGCATGTGTTCTTGAGAACTGTCTAGGCTCTGAACGCTGCATACGGGGTTGGGCTGTTGAGTTGCTTTTAAGCATTAATCATCTCCCTTTTATTCCTCAGGTGACGGAGATTGGCAAAGATGTCATCGGGCTGCGGATCAGCCCACTCCAGTTCCGCTAGGGCATGCCTGTCCTGGGGAGGTGTGAGATCAGAGGGAAATGGTCTCGTTTCACAGCACAGTGCAGAAACTTTCACCTCCCATCATTCCAGCTTTAGTCTAGTCTCTTCACCATAGCCATGCCTGTGCTGTGTCTTACCTGCTCTTCCCCACCCAGGAATGCTGTAGTGACACTCTTAGCTGCTTCCAAGTAGTAGCAACTTGCGCTTCTGTTTCCAGATCCAGCTGATGTTGAAGTTTCTATGTACCATCATCTCAAGAAAAATCTTTTCAGAGGGTAAAGGGTGGCTCTTGCTGAGCCCTGGTTACCACACATCGTGCTCTGTAGAAACTGCTTGAGAGGCAGCAACTGCCTCTTGTATCCTTTTGTGTTAGGCTCCTGAAAGAAGAGCTCAAAAACCCTGCTGCAACCTGGACAGCAGGAAGAGCCGAGCCTGGCTCTCACAGGAATGTGGCACTGTCTGGAACCAGGGCCAGCACAGAGCCTGTCCCTGCTCAGGGGCAGCTCTGCTCCCATTGGAAGTGGCAGGAGAACAGCTCAGCATCCAAGTGCTAGTGTTGACTTTTTGTTTTGTTGTCCTAGCAATGTTTCTCAAAATAATCAGCTTCTCTCATGAATAAAGTACATTGACCATCTTGATCTTCCTGTTCTGTAGCTCAGTTGGCCTTGCTGAGATAGAAGAGAGATTAGACTTAATTTCTACTTTTCAGCCCCCCCCTCCTCCCTCTTTTGTGCTCTTAAGCTACCAGACTTGGTGGGTTTTGAAGTTTCCAGAAAATGGAGGCTGTAGTCCTGAAATAATTTATCATGCCAGCAGAGGCTGCTTCTGCCAATTATTAATGTGTAATTGCTGTTGCCAGTGCTCAAATTATCCTTATTGGTAATGCTCCTGTCTTTGCATTTACCTTGTGTAGTTGTACCCTTTAGTATTACTGTACCTTTCCCCATGGTACTTAACAGGCTGGAGGATCTCCAAAGCCAGGCAGGTTGTAGTTTCTGGCAGTGACAAGGATGAGAACATGCATGTCCTAGAGATCCTGCTCCCTTTGTGGCTGGACTGCTTTCCTAGTGGTTTCTCCTCACTGATGATGCTGAAATAAAACCATGCCTTACGCTAGGATTTTAAACCTTTTATTTTATACATAAAAATGAGGACTGGGGATGTCCCCATCTTAAGGGCACTGCTTCCAGCTTTGCATCGGTCTTTTTTGAGGAATGTTCACAGTGGTGGGGGAGACACAGGAGCCAGGTCTAGGGGCGAGGGGTGTTAACAAGCAGGGAATTGTGGCAGGCCACTGCAATGCCCCCGATGAGGTTCAGGAACTCCTGGAAATCCAGCTGCCCGTCACTATTCAAATCGAGTTTCTTCATCATCCTGTCCACGACACCTGGGTCCTTCTGGTTCTGCAAAAGACCAAAGAGATGGGAATCGATGTCTGCCTCGAGGCAAAGATGCCCCTCTGCAAAGAACCCCCTGTCCTAGGTGTGGAACTGCAGCTGCTGAGTTCATCACCAGTGGAGAGGGACTGGCAGAGGAAGGCAGAATTCAGTCAGGCCAACTCTTGTCAGGCCACACTCTGGCTTCTGATGGGAGTGAGCTCTTCCCATCGCCTACCCCATGGTGCTTGTGGAGGCAGAGGCTTTAATTGCTGTCCCGGGGGCTGAAGTGCATGCCACGGGAGACTCTATTTTTGCTCACCTTTGTGAAGGCAGCCAGCTCAGTGTTCATGAAGGCCAGGAACTCCTTCTTGGAGAGTGTGCAGTTGTCCCCTTCACGCCCTGCGTACCGCTGGAAGACGGCTAGCAGGGACTCGATGCAGCGTTCAGTCTCCGTGGGCTGCAGGAGCCAAGAGCAAGTTCAGGTGAGTGTTGCAGGGAGCTCTGGGCTTGCAGAAGAGGAACCTGGCTCTATTTCTGGAGGAAGGTTGGGCTGAGTGGGGCCTCCTGCAGTTGCTTTCCTCGAGGAGTCTCCTATGCCCAACCTGTCCAGCTGCATTTTTCTTTGGTATTAATTTCTCTGACGCCTTGACACAGCACTGTGGTGCAGGAAGGACCCAGAGGATTGGGGAGTGGTTCATGGAAAATCCCCTGGGGAGATGTCAGTTCCCATCGGAGGAGCGTCCTGGACTGGGAAGAGCTTGCACTGCAACCACAGCGATGTGCTAGTTTTTTCCGTGCTCTCCAGCACGGCTTTGCTGGGGCTGCTTTTCTGGAAAGATAAGCCTGCCTCCCGCTTTCCCTCCCCCTGTCCTGTCTGGACAGAGGAGAAACTCTGAGTCATGAGAGAAAAATTTGAGCAGAGTTGGCTTGCCAAACTACTGCCTCCGGGCAGGGACAGATCTGGGCTGGCCTATGGGCTTCTCCAGTGGGGATGGATAGGGCAAGGTGAGGGAGGTGTGGGGGATGTGGGGCTCTTTCCCCTCCCCATGGCTCTAGACTTTGGGGAAGGGCAGTGCAGGGAGAGCTGGGGGAGGAATCCACCCTTCCCTGCCTAACCTCAGCATCCAGGGGACTCCCTGCCCCATCCTGCCCTGCATGAGGCTCAGTTCAACCTTTTTTGGTTAATGGGAGAGGAGCTGAGTTGCTTCCGCCCTCAGCCACAGGTCCTCGGCTCTTGGCTCCTCTGCACCCCCCTACCCTGGTGCTGGGGGCGGGGGGATGGGACAGTGGAGGCAGAACTGTAGCCCCGAATTGGATGATGGGCATCAGAAACATCAGTAGGAATAAAGGAGGGGAGGGGGTGTCAGGAAACAACCACATATACAACCCCCTAGTCCCCCACCCCTGCAGGGACACTGCCCTCCCTCTCTAGCTCGGCACCCTCTTCTTGTGCCCAGGCTCCCTCCCTGGCAGAGATTTAGCTCAGCCCTTGGCACCATTTCCTCTTTCTCATGCCAAAGTACGTTTCGCCTTCGGCTCTGGGGCCGCTTGTGGGAAATGCTTCTCTCCCATCGCCCTCCTGCCCTTACGGAGCTGCCTCTCCCTCCCTGCCCCGATTCACTCACCATGGCTGGGGTGCAAGGAGGGGGCTCGGTCCTCAGCACAGCCTCGGTGCGATGTGGCAAAGCAGGAGCCGGGGTGGTTATGAACCGCACCCCGCAGCCACCGCCCTTCCCAGCACAGCCAGTGCCTAGCCCTGACTCAGCCCCCTGGGCTGCGTTGGGCAATTGTCGGCTCTAACGGCAAATCTGGACATGCCTGCGGTCCCCGGCTTAGGCTCAGAAATGTGCTGGGCCCCTCCCCTAGACTCTGTCCTTTTCTCTCCCGAGTTTTATTCTTTACAGTTATTTACGCTTCCATTTTCTCCTTGTCTGTGTTCTCCCCTTGGTCCTTTGCCACTCGTCCCTTTATGGCTCCCTTCATTTCTTCCCCAGGGTCAGGGCTAAGCTCCCCTCAGGGCTGCCTTGCTACTACCCAGAGCATGCTCAGTGTTTCCTCTTGCTGGGGCAAAATTTGGGCTTCCCCAGCTTTTCTAATGAGGCTGGCAAAGGCAGATCAGGCGTAGGGAAGCAGGCAGTGTTCCGCTGCCGACAGCCAGGGCTGCCCACCCCTGGGGGGCAATTGCTGCCTGTCCCCTTCAACCCTGACCGGTCCCACCTGCTGAGCTTTGCTGATAACACCTTGTAACCTTCTTGTGGTGTAAAAGGAGGGGGAAAGGCAACCCTATGGGTTTGGGGTGCTGCACTGGGAGCTGGCTGCAGCCAGGATTTGTCTGCAGCAGTGCTGGTCTGAGCTCTTTACCGGGGCTGGCCCTCCTCGTGCTGCTGCAGAGTGAGAGACCCTGGAGGGCTGAAAAGAGGAGGGAGACATGGAGGTGGAGGAGGGACAGGAGGCACCTAAAAGGCACCCAGAAAAGCAAGTGATGTGCCCAGATAGCTCAGAGCAGGGAGGATGGGGGCTGTGGGGCTTGTGATGTTCAGAAACCAGCACATGGGGCTGTGATGGCCGGCTGCTCCCCATCCATCAAGAGCTGGGGAAGCTGCTCGGACCTGTGTTTATCTGTGTTTGTACAGTCCTGTGGTTATGGCACCCAGCTCCACGCCTTTGCAACCAGCGCTGATACAGAATCACCTGCCCAGGGCCAGATTTCCCTGTGACACCCAGCCCTGGGTGCTGCCACGTTTCCCCAAAAGCTTTTGGAGGAGCCTGGAGTGGAGAGGTCCGGGTAACATGGGCTGTCCCGGCAGCGTGGGGAAGCCACGATGTGCTCTGGGATCTGGGACAGCTTCCAGGGATGGGTTCTTCAGGAAATCCTGGTGGAGGCTGTGACTCAGCGTAGGGCAGGAGAAAGGGAAGCCATAAATCAGGGGGACAGCTGTCCCCAATGTACTTCCTTTCTTGCCCCAGTTTCCTGCCCCCAAACTTCTCCTTTTTTCTCATGTATTGGGGAAAAAGTACTCCCCTCCCCCCCCATCCAACTCCTCCCAAACTGGAAGCAGTTCAGTCCATGTAAATCAAAAGGACTTTCCAAACCTGGGAGCTGAGGGAAGGGAACCTGCTGCTCTTCTCCTTAGATTTTGCACTTCCACCTGCATTTTGCAAACTCCTCTTTGTGATCCCTTTACAATAAAATATGAGCTGGTTAGAAGGACAAGTGTTATTTCTCCCTTTGCAAGAGGAAATCCTGGAGCCGGTCATGGCTCCGCCCCATCCTGGCTGCAGTGGGGGATTTCAAGAGGTTTCTGTTTCTTGCTGCTGCTGCTGCTGCTGTGTGTGTTTGCAGTCAAGGCTTTGGCCCTGTTTGCAGACAGACCATCTGTGCTGCCATGTGTTTGTCACCAAGATGTGCGACTGTCATGTGCATTGCCGAGAGCATCGCCCCGTGCATCTGCCTGCCCCTGGCTGGGGCAGACCCTTCCGAGTCCCTCTGGCACCAGGTTCCAAACATCACAGGATGGTGGCCATGGCTAGGTGAGTGAGAAGCCCTGGGTGCTGCCTGCTGAGGCTGCATCAGGCTACGGTGGACTTGAGATACCCTTATTCCTCCTGGCCAGCCGCATTACCAGCCAGCAGGCTCTGGTTGCATTTAAGAGAAAGACACAGATGGTGCTGGGGTGGTCCTCGCTTCTCTCTCTTCTTGCAGAATTGCAGCCCCATCTGCTGCTGAGGGAATTGGTTCGCTCTTGCTCAAGGGAAAGAAAAGAATAAAATCTGGTTTTCTCCGGGGAGGGTCATGGATGTCTCCATCTCCAGCCTCATGCACCATGCGTGAGATCTGGTGCATTTTCCTTGCCGTGCTGCTGCCTCTCTCCTGCCCAAGGATCCAGGAGTGGTCCCAGGTACGGGGCAGCCCAGGGGAAAAGGCAGATGGATGCATGTGGCCAGGAAAATGTGTCTGGATGGCTTCTAACCAGCAGTGGCTTTGCACTGCTGGCTGTCCCTGTAGTGCACATCTGCCATGAAAGCTGGAGCACACAGGCACATCTGCGTGTCCCCATGTGGGTGTCAGATCACAGCATGTGCGAGCTGTGCTGGGAGCCCCCAAAATCATGCAGATCAGTAGCAAGGGCCAGAGTTTTAGAGGGATGTGGGCTCCTAGACATGTAGTAGGGGGGATTTGGTGGGATTTTCAGCAGCCCCTGTCTGGATTAAGTGCCTGGGATTAGGAGGAACGTGTGATCTGAACTGGGACACCCTCCCACCAGGCTGAGGCCCTTGTAGAAATTAGATGCAAGGATGAAGGATGGCAGCAGTCAGTGCAGTCATCAGCTATTTATTCTGGTTTCTCATGCAATACATCAGTGTGAAGAAGAAAGAGACACCCCACCCGCCACCGTTACCCTGCAGTAACCACAGCATAACTCAGCTGCTTTAAAGCCTCTGTGAGGCTGGAGCTGGGATTCTGCTCATCTGTTAGGGGAGCAGAAAGGTGTAACCAAAAGCATTGAGTCTACAAAAGTGGTTTTTTTTTTTCCCCAGCCTCAAGGATTTTCAGGGACAGCTGACAGGAGAGCCAGTCACGGGGCTAGGGAGATGTGAGTGCAGAGAGATGCAGAACAGTCATGCCACAGGGTAGAAGAGATGACAGGGACATAAAGGACAGAGAGACCCAAGGAATCCTATTAGAGCAGAAAAGTGAATAAATAGTGCATTAAGGTGGATAGACATAATGCAGGAAGACAGAAGCTGCAGATCCCGGGTTAACTATCTGCCTACCTACTTGCTGAGGATTTGTTACATGGAAAGTCCCCAAACCCACTTGACACCCTCTCAGAGCACCCCATTAACCCTTTTGTGTTGAACACTTCTATGCCACCACACGGTGACACCCTAAGCTGAAAGCAGAGAGCAGAAGTGATCCTCAAAGAGACTTGGAGAAGCCCCACCAGCTCCAGGGAGAGGACTTCCCCTTAAGATGCCTTGGCTTCATCCCTGGCAGGACGGCTTGGTGCCTCCTCTGAGACTGGGGGGCTAGGGGGGCCCTGGCTCTGCTTGCTGCAAAGATGTGGTTCTTCCTCCTGTTGAGGCTGGGCATTGCTCACTTGCTGGCTGCTCCCCTTGCTGTTCTCCTGCCGTGGCTGGCGGCTCTTCTCTGGCAGGGAAACCTCTGCATCCTCATGGCAGTGACTGGCTTCATCTCTCCAGGGTGGCTGGGAACGGCTCTCCTTGGTGGCTCGCTGGCCTGGCTCACAAGCTTCCTGTGGCTCTGGAGCCTGGGGCAGAGATGGGCAGCTCTTGGCCTCCCTGTCCTCATGCTTGCTCACTTGGCAGCTGGATTCAGGCTCTTGCAGGACCTGCTCCCTGGCAGGTTTTGATCCATCTCCCTGGGGCTGATGCTCCTTCTCTTCTGCATCAGGCATCGTGGGGTGCTGGCTGTCCCTCCTTTCCGCCTTGGGCTTTGCCTGACAAGAGTCACCCTTAACACCATCTGGCTTAGAGGCAGAAGCCTGGTGAGCCCCTTCTTTCACCCCTGTTTCAGACCTCTCCTGTGGCTCATTGAGATCCCCTCTGTTTTCCTGGGAGCTAAAAGCTGGTGTGCTCCCTTGCTGTGGTGTTTCGGGCTCCCCTGTTTCTCGCTCATCCCTTTGAGGTAGTGGCTCTGGATGGTTGCTCCTGTCACATGGGACTGCTGGCAGCTGGGGTGACATGTAGCACTTCTTCACGTAGATGGGCTGCCCGAGGTCGTGGGGCTGGTGACAGACAATCTCGTACGTGGTAGCTTCAGGATCATTCAAATTCTGAATCACATGGATCAAGCACGCAATGGTCTGAGGCTCACAGGGCTGAGGGGCAACCTGCACCTCTGGCCGTACATCAGGCTCAGCGGGGATATAACAGACCCTCATGTCAGTGACAGATACCTGCTCTCCTGGGGGAGACAGGTGTCTGTTATCCACCTCTATGGTTTGGTAGAGGCTCCTCTTGCGCCTTTGTTCTTCATCCTCATGCGTAGGGCACCCATTTGGCTCATGTCCTTCTTCCTCATGTAAAAGCCTGTGGTTCTGCCATTCTTGGCCTTCTGAAGACTCAGAGGCAGTGCACTCAGAAGGCTCACATAGTAATTTGTTTGCCTGATAGTGTTGCAGAATCTCTCTCTCTTGTTCTTCTTCGAGTAGATGGAGGCTGCTTCTCTTGCGTGTATCTCTGCGGGATCCCATAACACCTTGCTCTTCTGTTTCCCGTGTCAGGTGGCTGCGGCGCTCATAGAGCTCCAGGTCCAGCTCCCGTTGGCGATCGATCCTCCTGTCGCGCACGGGCTCTTCCCTCTCTCTTCCTCGGCAAATCCTCCTCTCATCCTCTGGTTCATTGCGCTCACGGGGACGGTCCCTCCTTTCCACGTCCTGACGTGGCTCCAGTTCCTGGGACACACGCTGGATCTCCACCTTGGCTTCTGCTGCTGCCACTGCTGTCTCTCGTGTCCTTTCGTACCTCACCGACTCACGTTGTCTCCTTCCATCGTCTTTGGGCTGGCGTGTTTGACGGTCACGTCTCTCACGTGTCTCTTTCTGGTTGGTCGTGGCACCTTGCTCTTCTGTTCCCCCTATCAGTTGGCTGCGGTGCTTATAGAGCTCCAGTTCCTGTTCCTGTTGGAGATCAGTCCTCTTGTTCTGTATGGGTTCTTTTCTCCTTGTATCTTCTTGTTTTTCGCACTCTTGATTCATATGGATATCTCTCTTACCTTTTTGATATTCAGACTCATGTTCCTGTTTTTTCCCTTTCTCAGAGTTTTGTTTTCTTGGGTTAGAAGTCTCATAGTATCTGTGGTGGAGTTGTAGCGGTTTCTGTATATATGATTGATGTGTGTTTTTTGAGTCCCGGCATTCAGGCTCATGTGGCTCGTGGCTGCTGTGTTCAAGTGCTTTTTGTTCCAGCTCACGTACGTGGTAGCGGCTCCTCTTTTTTGTGCCTAATTCAGGTTTACGTGGCTGATTGTGACTTCCTATATCTGCTCTTTGTGGCTGCTGGGTTTTTTGATCATATGCTGGTAGTGCTGTCTCATGTGGCTGATGGCTACTCCACCGGTTTGGCAGTGCTTGAGGTTCACAGCTCTGGCTGTGACTCCTCACGTCTGCCAGTTGTTCTGGCTGCAGCACCTCTTGATTTTGCCTCTCATCTTCTTTCAGTCTGGCCTCTTGTGCTTGCAAGCTGCTGCACTTGCGGTGTTGTACATCTCCTCGTCTGTCTGGCTCTAGTGGCTGACGTCTATTTTGGCTCTTCTGTTGGTCACGTGGCTTTTGGTTTCGTTCTTCATATTCTTGAGGGGTTGACTCCCCTGGCTTGCTACTTAGCTTTGCATCGTTTCTGCTTTGCGTGTTATGTTGCTGGTGATGACTCCCCATTTCCTCTAGTGTTTCAAGCTCATTGATCCTGGTGTCTCGTTGCAGCTCAGGTTCACAGGGGGGATGATACTTACTCTCACAAGTTTGTTGTTCCTCCTCCTGGAGCTGCTGACGGCTCCCTCTGTTCTTAATGTCAGGCTCTCGGAGTGACTTGCCACTGGTTGTCAGCTTTGTTCTTTGCAGAAGGCATGGTCCCTTTGGCAGGTACCAGTAGCAGGCCTTAGCCACTCTGAACACCAAAAGCAGGAACTCATTAAAATCTATTTCCCTATCACCATCCCACTCCAGAAACTGCAGAATCTTGTCAATTGTCTGAGGGTCATGCGGCTTCTGCAGGGAAAACACACACAGGGAAACAAAAAAGGCAGTTTAGTCTTCCTACTCCTTGTTATAGAAATGCAAAGGCAGGGACAACTGCAATCTTTTCTCCTTCCCTCTCTAACACCTTCACTTTCATAGCTCAACAGGAACTCCATGTCTTTGTTCTCCGTTTTCCTGGTTGTTCCCTGGCTGCAGCCAACCAGCTGTCTTCTCTTTGGGATATGCTGTATCCCTCTATTGGATACATTTCCTTCCTACCTTTGAAAGAACACCATACCTCCCCACAGTTCATTCTCCAGCTTTTGCCCATTTGTACATGGCAAAATGGGTTGGGAGAACTGTTGAACCTGTCAGTGCAAAGGAACGCAACTGCTGCTCCCCTTTGAAAGCCTCCCCATCCCACTGTCATAAGAATCATCCCGTCTCCAGAAGGAGATTTTGCAGTCTCTTGCACTCCAGTCTCAGCCTCAAGCCCTCCCTCTTGCAGCAGCACTCACATCTATGATATCTGCAAACTCTCTCTGGATGAACTCCTTCATCTTCCTTTGACTGAGGTTGGAGCTGTCTCCATCTTCCTTTGCATGTTTGTGAAAGACGCTGATGATGGTGGAAATGCTGTCTAAGAAGCGAGACATCTTCCTGCAGATTCAAGCAAGCCTGCAAGAAAAGGAGCAGACCTAAGGATGGGAGATTGGCTTGCCTCTGAGCCTGAAAAGAGAAGGGAGAATTGCTGGGGTCAGGCTGTGCGTGTTAACGGGATGCTGGCTGCCATGTTCTGTGTGTTTGCTCCTGTGCCATGGCGAGCTCTTTCACCAGAGCACTGGGAAGACACTCAAATGCTTACGAGTTTTAGTGGGATGGGGAGTGTCCTCCAACTTGCCTACTGAGGTATTTGAATGATGGTTGATAGGGGATGGCAGGATGCCTGCATTTTTGGATCGCAGGGAGGGAACTGGGGATGGTGACTCAAGAGATGCCCCAAGAACCCATCCCCATGGGGCTATACCAGGTACTTATGTTTCCAGGACCCGCGCTGCTACCTCTGCCTGGCACCAAGAGAGATACACTGGCTTCTGTGAAGCGGGTTAGAGGATGTCTAACACAGCACTGGCACAGCCTGAGACAAGATCTAGCTGGGTCAGAGACAGGTAGAGTGCTTACAGAGAGTTAAAACAAGCCCTGTGGCTGGTGCTCCTGTGACCAGTAGTAATGCAAAACAATTGATAAAGCTTTCATTACAGCATCAGTTCATTGGCAAATAGATTTTGGCCAGAGGAGAACTGTCAGTTCACCCAGGTCAGAACTGCTTATTTAATTTTACTGAGATCTGCTTGGCAGAAAGCAGAGCTCCTGTTGGAGCTTTGTGTCTGGAAACCTCAAAAGCCACCTCCTTCCTTCCTCCTCACAGGATCCCCAAGCCTGTTATCAGGTACATCGGTGCTGAGAACAGCTTGCAGCTGGGGAAGCTGTGCCGTGTCTGCCTTGCTGCCTCTATAACGTGCACATATGCATGAACACATGTGCACAGCTCTGCATATGAAATCCTGGGTTTTGCTATTTCTGTAGAAAACAGAAAATTTCTCCAATCTGTTCATTCTGGTTGGGAGCTGACTCCAGACCAAAGTAAAGCATGAAACCTGGCTCCCTCTCTTGTTTTCTTTTGGAGAAAAACTGCGTCTACACATGGACACACAACAACAGCATGCAGGTATCTGAATAACACTAAACAACACTTCACTGGATATAAACACAGAATACTCAGAAAATATTGCAGCAGGAACAACGCTGCCACCCAACATGAATCCTATAGAAATAACATGTCCTTGCCTAGCAAAGTGCACGTTTCAGAAGGAGTGACTTACCCAAATCACCAATGGGATCAAGTGGGATTCCTGTGAAGCCGTGCGGAGTGATCGGAGGACCGGAGTGCTTTTATAGGGTCCTTGACGGAGCTACAGAAAGGAGACACCCTTTGTGGATGTTGTCCTGATTCATCTTCGGCCAAGCCCAGCTGCACCTTGACGTCCTCAAACGGGTTATTTAACTTATCATCCCCTTACCTATCATTTTAACCCAGAAATAGCAGTTGCCATGTGGCAATTCAGGCACTGGCTGGTTCCACCTAATCCAGACTGTAAAGTTATTTTATGGGCTGATTGTATTTCAGATTTTAAAAAAATCTAGAGTAGCTATAAAGCGTATATATGTATTAATGGGAGGGTGTATTTTTATATAAATGTACATCTGCATAGGTATGAATTTATATATGTACAATACACACACACACATAAAACCAGTATGAAATGAAATAGAATGAAATTCTGAGGATGGGGGCAGAAGTATTGATGGTAGCAGAGCTGACTATGAGCAGATTTGGGACAGCTGCGATCTGTATGGCCCATGAGCTTAGTACCACAATACCAGAGATTATTTTTGTTTGCTTTTTGTGCAGTTCCTTCGGCACCTTGGGCCTGAGGTCAGTGGGGTTTGGGTCTGGCTTTCGCTTGCAGAAGGACAGAAGACCTAAGCACTATAAAAATGGTGGAATGCAAGTGCACAGCAGTGAGGTCCCCAAATCCTCCAGATCTTGGCTTGTGTGGTATCCTTGTAGAGTGTTTTATTTTTGGTAACTTCTTATTAAGGAGCCTTTTTGTATATTATCCAGGTTTTTGTTGGGAAAAACCCAACCACAAACAGAATATTTTTAAATGGTAAAGTTTGCAAAATGAATTTTCATAAAAGAAAATATCTGTTCAATAAGCAATGACTTTTCATTGAGAAAAATAATGACAAAACATTTTTCATATTAACTGTCTTCCATGAATGACTTTCATTTCAACTTTCCTTGATCTTTAATTAAAAATAAAAGCAGGAACGTCTCTGCTGAGAGGTCAATTCATGTTGAATCTTCATCTAGTTGCCCTAGGCAGCTTTTGCTGTAATTACCTCTACAATCTTCTTTTTTTTTTAATGTTTTAACAATAAATTAGTTAGAGACCAACTGATTCCTTTATTCATCCTGAACTCTCACAGCACACAGAGCAAATAAGGAAGATACCAGCCATGCCACCTGGGCCCCTGCTTTTGGAGGTAGGATGCTGCCTTGACAAGCATGATGGAGACATTGCAGAAAGCCTTCAGAGCATGAACTTGTCACGCAGCCTTGGGTGAGTGGCTCATCTGGCCCATCTGTAAGGTAAGATCATACTGGGTGTAGGAGCCTAATTAATTAGTGCTGGTAACACCTTGGGGATACTCATACAAGTGCGTACGAAGATTTGTTACTAACCATACTTCATTTTTGAGCTTTTTTTCAAGATTAAATTATACTTGTGCAAATTATACCCCACCTGTGGGATAATAACACCCTTGGGAAACTGTAATTTTATGGTAGATTGGAGTTGTTATTAGAATTAGAGTATTACAGTGCGGCTTGGTGTCCTGTAACAGTCTGTAATCCCCCCGCAGGGGCTGGGACAGTGCGGGATAGTCGAGTGCCACGTGAGCCACCAGGCAGAGTTGGGGTATCAATGCAGGAAAAGGTATGTCGCGTTTCGGCCACGCGCATGCTGGCATGCTCGTCTGCTTTCCCGTGCTTTGCTGCCATTCCCAGGTCAAAGCAATGAGTTGCAAAGCACGTTCTTGGCAGCACTGAAACCCCCTTTTCTCCAACAGCTTGGTTTTCCCCAAAGATGCTTTCATAAGACAGGACTTGGGTAGGTTTTTAAAAGCTATTACCAAAAAGGGTGGGCTCTGTCCTCCTGCTTCTTACCCAAGTCTGTGCCCGTCCACGTCACTGTTTATACATGGTGACTGAACTTCTATTGCATTTAATCTTAGAGGAAGTGGGCTTCTTGTGTGGTGTATAAAAGACCTTTTCTCTTCCAACACCTCCCAGGCTTGCAGGACTCTTAGACAGGTTTTTGTGTCAGTGGGATAATTTTCATGTTCTCCTCAAAATGAACCAACCCCCCCCTCTTAACTTCAAATATGATACCCCTGATGGCAAAGGTAGTGTTGTTTAGGATAGAGCATATAATTAACGCAACCCTAACAGGGCTTGGTGCCTACCTGAACTGGAAGGTCAGTTTTTTACTGATGCTGCAAAAGGTGGCAGCTGATGGACAGACAGACTACAGGGGGATGGTTGGGTCTAGTGATTTTAGACCCTAAGCCAGAACTAATAAGAAGCAAAGAGCCATTGGACAAACCTCTAAGACCTATTTTACAAGAAAAATGGAGTTCTCTGTAAAATAAAATGTTTTGAGGAATGTCTCAGATGGAATGGGGTTTTGACAGATAGGTGGTGAAAGTCTTGACTCTCCCATTTCATGTCCACAGCTGTCATGAGGTAAGTCAGACTTATTTTTGCTAATACGTTTTATCAGAAGTAGAGCATACTGGTGTACTTTGTGTCTAATACATCAGCACTTTTAAACTAAATCATTTTTGCGATGTATGTTCTGGGGATAGTTTTGAAATGCTGGTTTTTCTGATTCAGCACTTAGCAAATTGTGAAATTCTGGGGTGTCCCAGAGGAATGACGTTTTATTTTCCAGTGAGGTCTCTGTGTGCTGCTTGTCACCAGCCACAGAGCAGGAGGTGCGGGTGCATTTATCATGTGCTGATTTTGCTGATAGGTCACAAGTGAAAGATAGCATGGTGAAAAACAGGCTGAGCATCACCCTCCCTGCGGGATGCCGAGTCCTGGGCCTGCCTGGTGGTCCAGCACGTCTGAACCCCCTAATAAACCCCACTGACTTCACCAGACTGCTCATGCCCTCAGCATTATCCACATTCCTATGTGCATGCTTGGACAAGTGCCCAAAGACCTGGTACCCCGAACTGCTTGAACTGAATCTGAGTTTGAGATTGGCTCCGTTTGTGCATGAGTTGCATGTCAGCTTTTTATCTCTGGCCTCTCAGTTGTTGCTGGGACTGGATGTACCCGAATAATAATTTTTCCTGTGTTTAATATATCTCCACTCCTTCCTTTGGAGACTTCTATAGCTAATAGGGATTTTTGATCTTCATAGCATGCTCCACATTCCCCTTGCATCTGAGATTATTAATAAAGTGAGGTTAAATAGGTCAAATCCCTCCCATTCAGTGTTAAGCAGCTGTTTATTTTTTTCATGACAGACATGAAAAACACCCGGAGCAGATGGATGCTGTGAAGGATCTGTTCAGGTCGGCCGTGCTGTTGTGTTAAGCCAGACTTCTACCCTCTCTGAAGACATCTCTCGCAGGGATGTCACATCCCTGCCCGTAGGGAGCAATTGATTCACCTCAGCTAAATTGCAAAGGCAGCTGAGCAGCAGTTCCTTTAGGCTATCCACCCCCAAGACACACCTGCCTCTCTGCAGCCATCCCTCCATCTGCACCCTGGAGCAGTCTGGCCATATGTCATGCAAGGGACGGACACTCAGGTCCTCTGCACCTCATCATGTCAACCTGGCTGTTTGCTCAGGCTGAGGGCATGCTTGCAACACCACACCGGGACACTGTGCCCTTTTGCCTTCAGTTTTATTGCTTTGCTTACACAGGCAGAGGCAGCCTAACACAGAGTAAGAGGGAAGGGCTCTGGTCATGCATAGCTCAGTACAAACCAGGGGTGTGAAGCCCAGGTTTAACAAGGAATTGGACAAGACATGACAACTAGAAATACAAAAAACAGAGTGGGACTGGACCAAATGTACCTCCATGCAGGGGGCAACAGCCTCACTTAGATGGGGGCTTGTTTCAGCCTTTACTGCTGTGGTAGCCACTGATACAGAGACTGCAGGAGCTGTTGCTCTGTAGTGGGTTGTCTTTGGTGAGGAGTGTGTTGTTGCTGTTGTGCTGGACAAGATGGAGCGTCTGCCCTGCTGTGCTTCTGCTCCAGCACCTTGGATTCAGGGAGCTGATGGCAAGTTGGGTTATGGCATGTTTCCTGGGGCTTGGGATCCCAATGGGGGCTTGCACCCCACTGTGGGGGCAGCAGCTTCTGGGTCTTGCTGGGATTGGGGTCCTGCCAAAGGGCCTTGCAGACCTGGGTCTTGTTGTTTGGGTCGCTTCCTCATGTCTCTGAGGGACAATTCAGGTTCTGCTCTGCTGACTCTGTCTCTGGGCTCTGATGGTGGTTTGAACCCTGTCCTGGTGCCTCAGTTTCTTGGGCCTGGTGGGTTTTTGGGTCCTGTTTTGGTGCCTCAGTCTCTTCAGCCTTATGGGTATTCTTGTCCTGCTCTGGGGTTGCAGTGTCCAGGATCTCAGCTCTCTCTGGATCCCCTTCTGGTGCTTCAGTCCCATCATCTTGGTGGGTGTCCTGGTCCTGCTCCTGTGTCTCACCCTCCTGGATTTGATGGTTGTCTGGGTGCTGTGTCTCAGTGTCCTGGACCTTGGTTGTTCACACCCTGCTCAGGGACCTGCTGGTTGCAGGAGACCCTCCCCGCTGCATGCAGCCTTGGCTGCTGCTCCCTACCTGCCTTCTCTTGTGCTGTCAGCTCTTGACTATCTTCTGGTGCCTAGTGCTGCTGGAGTGGCTTCCAACAAGCCTTGGTCACTTGGAAAACCAGGCTGAGCAACTCACTGAAGTCAGCCCTGCAGTTGCTGTTATCCAGGAAGCACAGCACCTTCTTGATGGTTTTGGGGTCCTGGAGGGTTCTGTAAAGAGACAAATGGTGTTGGCAAAGCCTGTGAACCATTTGTGCCATCTCTCTAGGAGCACTGGAGCAGTCTCAGGGCAGAAATCCAGCTCCATGCCCCCACTCCCCCATGCCTTGTGTTGCTCCCTGCACTGAGCTCCACAAGCTGCTGGCTCTGGGAGAATGGACAGCCTCTCCTCTTCCCTGCAGATCCTGGGCTTTGAAGGCATCTGTGCCTTTCCCAGGGAGCCAGGTGTCCTGTACACCCGCATGGGAGTGCACAGCTTTACCCACCCTGCCAGCCCTGCAGCCAGAAGGCACACACGCGGCAGGCGCCAGCTGTGGGGCTGGATCCTCACCTCCATCGCATCCGTGAACTGCTCAGTGAGCTGCTTCAGCTCCTCCCTGCTCAGAGGGCTGCAGTTGCCGTCGCTTCTGGCACACGTGTAGAAAGCAGCAGTGATGCCATTGATGTTTTCCTGGAGCTGGGCCATCTTGCTGCAAATTTGAGGCAGCCTGTGAGAAAAACACAGACAAAAAGGAGCTTTTTTTTGGTTCATTTGTTTGGGTTTCAGATAAGTTACTCTTAAACAACACAGCTGGACAGAGAGAGAGAGAGAGAAAGAAGAGCCAGAGGAGGGCACAGATGAAATGAAACGGTATAAAGGAAGGGAAAGAGAGAGCAAGAAGGATGTCACAGGAAAACAAATCTGAAAAATGAAACTCAGCTGCAGAAGTGGCTAGACGTGAGGACCAGCAGGTGATAGCTGGAGAGGTGAGGGACAGTGAGAGCCAAAAGGCTGGGGACACACAGTAAGAGAAGAGAGAAAAAAATCCCATTTGGCTTTCTCTGGCACAGAACAGAGCTGTGAATGGAGGTTGTCTCTAACAAACCATGGAATAGTTTAATTCCAGATCTCCTTTATTACTATTTTTTTCCTTCAGGAGAGCTCAGCAGTGGCAGCTCCAGGGACATCCTTATGGCCAGAAGCTCCTGCTTTCCTGCTGGTAGCAAAGTCAGACAATGTGAAAAGTATGTCCAGGCTTATCTGGGCGAGGAGGAGGAGCGCTGAGCTTCAGGAGCGCAGTCTGGAGCAGATCAGCTCTTGGCCATCTTATATACAGTTCAGGATCACAGCTTGCATCTTCCAGAGGAGACACCCCTTCAGCAGGGTGACCTGAAACATCTCACACCCAATTATGGTGTCAAGCCCCTGTCTTCAGTTGTCTCTTTCTCATTAACTTCTGCTCTGATGCTTTTCTCTGGAGTTAATGCACGATCCTTCCTTCCTAAGCTTGCCCCACCTGCAGACACATTTCAGAGGAATTTAACAGAAAAGGCTATTTTTACCACTGGAGAATTTAGTTTGAGGTGATGCCTGAGCAATGCCTGGGACTCTTGTGGTTGGCAAACGTGTTTTGTGAAAAGGAGGTCCCCAGTGACTGACACGCAGGGGAGGAGACCGGCCAGCCGTGCTTGCATGGTAAATAAAGAGAAAAGAAAACAAAGGAAGAAAAATTATATTGTGATGCTAAGATTAATGTGATTCCTTCCAGATACTCCCTCTTCTGGATCCCAATCAAGCAAAGAAATCTTTTCAAACAGTGCCACCAAGTGGCACTTGGAGTAGGACAGAGGTGTGACATGGTGTGTCCCAGAGCCAGCGAGCAGCTGGGGACTATGGGCATGGTGGGCTGCAATCACCTATTTACCAGAAGGGGAAGCTGAGGCACATGGCAAGGAAGGGACTTAAACTCCTCATGCTGTCCAGCACCAGTTCCCGCTGCAACCCTGTGTCCTGTGGGTGACGCCACCATACTGAGGTCCAGTGGGTTAACTGGGAGCCTCGCAGACCTAAATGCAGTTATTGCTGTTTGCTCAGGAAAGTAAATTTTGTATCTCTCTATGCTGTCTTATTGCTCCCCCGGCTGCTCCAAATGCGGTCTGACATGACAGTTGTTTCCTAGGCACTTTGAGTAAGACTTTTAGGTGTCCTTTAGCTTTCTCTTTTTGAGAGTCCTTTTCTTGGCCAATATGTGGTTCATAAGAAAGACTGGAAAAAAATGGTATCAGAAATCCATGTGGCTTTTAAAGTGCAAGGTGTTTTAGGCACAGAAAATAATATACATCCAGTTTTGTACTAGAAAAAGCACTTTCAGGAAAATGCTCTGGCTTGCTCCTTGCCTTGCAGGGGGGAAGGTTAATGGGTCCTATTTTGTTTATGTGAAATCCTTGCAGGTGTGCATGGAAGGGCTTGGAGAGGATAACTATGGGAGGCTGGAGGGTCAGGAGGGCTTTGCAGGCTGTCCTGTCCTGTCCTTTGGTTATGTGCTGAGTCCTCTTGAGCTCAGGGTTCCTTTTTCTCTGGCTGGTTCTGTCTGAAACCATGTCCTTTCTTTAAGCTAATATATCACAGTTTTAATCCCAGGTGCCATCAAGCAGCTCTTCTGTCAGCCTGAGTAGGCAGTGCCCAGGGAGGAGCTGCAATCTCCTAAACAGTACCCTTTTATTTCTATTTATCAACCTTTCTATCAAACCTGCATGGAAATGCACCACTTTCCTCTAACATGTGGCATGTTCGCTGCTAATCTTCTCATTAAGCTGCAGTGAGGGTGGGGGGCAATTACTGGGGCACCTTGGAGAGGCAGAAGTGTTTAGGGTGTTCTTGCTGGAGTTATTTCTAGTCAAACCACCCAGACCTTGAGCAGGGCGGTTTCTCCTCTTGTAGACAACTGTAGACAATAACAGGTTTATGTTGTATGGGATTTCATGCATGCTTTATGAAGCAGAAAAGGTTAGAGGATCAAATTATATCTGAAGAAGTTAAAAGTACTGCAACAGAAAAGAGAAAAACATCACTTTTAGCAGAGCTTGCAATAAATTATGTTGAATCCAGGGAGTGGAGGGCAGGTGCTTCTGAGACTTGTGCTAACCTAATCACATGAAACTTCAGTGGTGCTGCCTTGAGAGCTGTGAAATAGGAGGGGAAGCTTTGCACAAGCTCACACCTGGTTTGCAATGATGCTGGGGGGTTTTGAAGAGGATTGGGATGGGGCTGGGAGGGCTTGCTCTCTGAAAAGGTCTGGAAAGAAGCTGATCTTCCTAGGAACACCTCTACAACAGAAGAACAGCATTTGTGCTGCTCTTTACTGTGAAAACTGCTCTTGCAGCAGAGCCAAATTGCTTAATACAATTAGCTGGTAATGCCTTTGGCTGAAATAAAGCTTAGGTTCTAATTTCTCTGTTTTCACCCAATATCAAAAGGAGCCAGCAGCTTCCAAGGTGGTGTCCTGTGTGGTTAGAGATTCCTGGGCACCCCAAGACCTTTAAGCCATGCTGGTGCTAGAAAAGCATCATTAGCCTAAATTTTGGGGCAGGAGGGGTAGCTCTTTCTGCTGTGATGCCACCTGCACTTCAGAGAAGAATAAATAGTTTGGGAGTTTGCGTTCAAAGCAGCCAAAATGGACATTAATTAGGGATGGCTTTCCAAGGTGGATTTCCTGCAGAGGTAAGGTGCATGTTGTGGCAGAGGAGGGAACAAGTCTGCAGCATATTGTTTACTTGGCAAACTCACTCCACTAAAATTAGCAAATTTTTCAGGTGTATTTGCTGAAGGAGCTCCATTTTCTGAGCTCACCAGCAGAAAATGTGTTGGGGCACTGGGTAAACCAGCTTCTCTGGATAGGCAGAGTGTGTATTCAAGCTTATGCTGCTGGTAAAATGCTCTCTGGTTGCTTCCTTTAAGCAGCTTGATTACCTAATTTTATGCACATCTGTCCAGTTCATCTTTCTTTCTGTTTCTTGGGCAAAAAGATATTCTAAGCATGCTGGTTCTGTGTGTTCACACGAGGGGCAGCTGTGGTTCCCTGGGCTCTGGACTGCACCACTGGCATGGGTTTGGAGGCGTGATGCACACCAGGGCTGGGTGAAGCTGGAGGTGACACCTGGCTCACAGCAGCACTGGGACTCTAGCGTGATCATTTGGAGCAAGATTTGTGTCAGAAGTGCAGAAAAAAAAAGAAAAGTATGGAAAATCTAAGTGTTCATGGTTACACAAGAGCTTTAAAATAATATAGGAGCTGTTATTACCACTGTGGTGATTGCTGAAGATCTACAACTTAGGTCATGCTTAAATTTCTCCTGCTGTATTTTAATGTGTGAAACTTCAGCCATCTCACCTAAAATTCTTCTCTTTGAAAAAAGAACTAGAAAACCGGTGCCTCCTCAGACAGCCCTGGGTTATTTTCCTCTCTTCTGCTCGAAGACCTTGTGGATCTGGGAAATTGCTCAGCTCCTTGGTTAATGGGGAGGAAAGAAGAAGCAGATGAAGGAGGCATCGGGAGGGAAGGGGCCACAGAAAAAGCATTGCCAGCAATTGGGGCTGTGTCATGAGTGCATGTCAGGCAGTAATGGCAGGGACTGGTATTGAGCTGGTGTCGGGTGTTAGGCTTTGGGTGTGTTTAGGGTCTGGGGCTCAAGGGGGTGGGAGTTAGGTCAGAGCGGTCAGGTTCCTCAACAAAAACTAAAGCAGGAAATTACTGTTTATTCCTGCATGACTCTGATTATTCCTGCTCAGCAGGGAAGAGCAGAAGTGTAGGTTAGTGCTGATGAAGGAGGGAAAGTGCTGCACTAAAGGTTTAATGTGAGAAAGCATTTAAATATGGGTTTTAGAGAGCTGGAAGTCTTTGGGGCTTGAATGGATGGGGCTTGCTTTAGGGGGGAGGTTAGAAGAAAAAGCAAATGCCTGGTTAGTGCCTGCACTCTGTGCAGCCATGGGACCCAGAGGTTTTATCTGGGGTTATTGCCTTCCTCACATGCCTCCTTTGCCTTTTCTTCCTGTTGTTTCCTTCTTTCTTTTGCCTGCTGAGAGCTGAGGGCAGTTTACACTGAGGTTCAGGCTTACCTCGTTCCAACATGAAGCACATTTCCTAAACTTTCCTGGGGCTGGAGCCCATTATACAGAGAGTTTTATCGCTACATCTATGTCATTATCAGGAATTAAGCTAATTGGAATAAAATGCTGTGTTTTCCTGTGCTGCCTAGGCATTTCAGCAAGTTATTTCTGTTGCAACCTTCTTTATTGCTAATTCATTGTGACATTAAGAAGTGTAATACATCAGCTTTTCTCTAATAGATGTTTCCACTTTTTTACATGTTAATGAGCATATTTAACATATTTCTTCAGAGATAATTGGATTCTAAGTCTCCCTGTGGTAATGCACTGAAAGCCAGCTAGCAATGCCTTTAATATCTAAAAGACTCTTTCTGCATTTGAATAATCCCACAATTAAAATTAGGAATTAATCTCTTGGCTGAAACAAGGCTTTTGAGGATACTTTTCTTGTTTTGAGACAGTTTTAATACATATGTTAATTACACTTATGGAGAAGTTAATTAAGCCCTTCCTTTGCATTTGTACCCTAGAACTCATAAAGGGGCATGGGTATCTCAGATTATCTTGTTCCTCTCACCCATTGATCCTCCTTGTGAATG